CGCTGCGAGGAGGAGAGCCGCGGGCGCGAGGGCGCCGAGCGCGCCCTGAAGGCGCAGCAGCGCGACGTGGACGGCGCCACGCTGGCCCGCCTGGACCTGGAGAAGAAGGTGGAGTCGCTCCTGGATGAGCTGGCCTTCGTGCGCCAGGTGCACGACGAGGAGGTGGCCGAGCTGCTGGCCACGCTGCAGGCGTCGTCGCAGGCTGCGGCCGAGGTGGATGTGGCTGTGGCTAAACCAGACCTGAGTTCGGCGCTGAGGGAGATCCGCGCCCAGTACGAGTCCCTGGCCGCCAAGAACCTGCAGTCAGCCGAGGAGTGGTACAAGTCCAAGTTTGCCAACCTGAACGAGCAGGCGGCGCGCAGCACCGAAGCCATCCGGGCCAGCCGCGAGGAGATTCACGAGTACCGGCGCCAGCTTCAGGCGCGCACCATCGAGATCGAGGGCCTTCGTGGAGCCAATGAGTCCTTGGAGAGGCAGATCCTGGAGCTGGAGGAGCGACACAGCGCTGAAGTGGCTAGCTACCAGGTAAGGGCTGGAGTGCTGTATGGGGAGGGGCGCCCTGTCCCCTCCCGCACTTACCTGCGCTTTCCCGAACAATTGTGACCCAAGGAACTGAGGGGAGGGGAAGGGAAGGAAGGGGAAGAGGCTGGACTAGAGGCCTTGGCAAACAAAAAGCTTTGGACTCTCCACTGATAATTTTAGGAGCCTGGACACCCTCTTCTCCTGCCCCTCACTTACATCCAAAGCCCTTAGTTTCTCTTCTTAAGATCCCGAAAATCTAACTCCTGCCTCCGTGTCTGCATGTGATAATATACACGCTTAAGACTTGAAGAGCAGTTCCCCACCCAAAGTAGGAGTGAGCCCAGCGGAGGTGGTGGCCTGGCTGTCTCGGCTCTCTGGCTTCTTTTGTTGACTTTGAAAGGCCTTCTAAAGTGCGCCCTGGGATAGATATTTCTAGAGTATGGTCTGCCCTAGGGTTGGGGAAAAAATGCTAGACTGAACTGGGAAGGGTTCTACCCCCATTTCCTTGACTTTTATCCTCAAAGGAGTAGAGATTGGGAACCAAAGAGATGGGTGGTTGGGCTAGCGTAACCGCCCTGTTCTTACTCTACCCCTCCCCCAACACACATATACACAAAACACACCACACACACACACACACACACACACACGACGCACATATACACAGGGTTCCCTTGTCGAGCGATTGATGCTATTTCTTCCTAAAGAAAGCCTTCCACTAGTGAGCAAACGAGAATGGTCGGGGCGCTGTCCTCGGTNCACATACACACAGGGTTCCCTTGTCCAGCGATTGATGCTATTTCTTCCTAAAGAAAGCCTTCCACTAGTGAGCAAANCCTTGTCGAGCGATTGATGCTATTTCTTCCTAAAGAAAGCCTTCCACTAGTGAGCAAACGAGAATGGTCGGGGCGCTGTCCTCGGTGCTGATCTCCAGTTCTTCCCATCTCAGAAATGTCTCCCCCGTCGCATGTCCCAGTTATGTCTCGCTAGGCAATTAACTGCTTTGATTTTTTTCTTCCGCAACACCAACACATCAGTCTTGGCTACCTGCAATCAAAGGTCACCCCGTAGACAGTATCAATATTCACTTTCATGGATGGCTTAGCACTTAACAAAAACCACTTAATCTGCTCAGCAGCAGTGAAGTCCCACTTGAAAATGCGTATTTCCTTAATATTTTCCCACTCTAAGTGAATGTCATAAATCAAAGAGATGGGTTCTACCTTTGTTATAGGCCACTTATTTTTCATCTTTGCCTATCCTCTAAGCTCCCTTGATTAGCTCTTCCCCCCCCCCTCCAAACAAAGACCACTACATCTTCAGTTTTTCTATATAAAATATTCTCTTGGCTTATGACCACAAGGGCACAGAGGCAGGAGAAAAGTGTAGGAAATAATCTAAATAGTGTGGTTCAGATTCAAGGTACAATAAAAATTCCTTTGGGTAGAAGCTAATAATTCAGAAGCTTGCAATAATTCATTCTAGCCAAGACCAAAGTTTATGTTTGATTAAATTAATAGGGTTTAGGGAACATTAATAAAATACATACAAGAAAGGAGTGAAACACCAAAAGTATGATTTTAGTCTGAAGATAAAGAATAATTATTGGTGTGCAGGTATTTGTTGTTCATTGTAAGTGACTTTCTTTGATAAAGGAAGACAGCTTCTTGGACNCACTGTAAGTGATTTTCTTTGATAAAGGAAGACAGCTTCTTGGACCATTTGCTTTGGTTAGTTNGTTCATTGTAAGTGACTTTCTTTGATAAAGGAAGACAGCTTCTTGGACCATTTGCTTTGGTTAGTTTGCAATTACAGTACTATTCAAGTAAAGACTTCTATTCTGCTTCAAGATCTGTAACGAACTTTTCACTATGTGGCCTACCCCCTGGAAGGTTTGGATTAGTCACATTTAATTAATTGAAGCTTCGTGTTTCTTCTAGCAGCCTCAAAGGATGAGCTAGGTGATCTTCTGAAGGACTAGCCCAATATTTCTACAAAAAAATAACTTTTCCACGACTGCCATCTGAACTTGGCTTTGTCATGTCCTCTGTTTGCTTACTATAGCCCCTGAATTCTAAGAGGTAGTGACAATATTGTCTGGCTTGTTTTACTTGCATTAAAAGGCCTTGAGTGTTAGACAATAGTAGGGTCATGTAGACATAGTCTACAGTGGGTAAAAAACAAACAACAGAAACTGCAGCATGTCTGCAGCTCTGCAGTGCTGCCCCCATCAGCTTTTGCTTTCGATGCCTCAGTGGACCTGCTGATGGAGTGGAAGAGATCAGAGGACAGAAAGCTATTTCCTACCCCTTGGGACCTAAGGCTGAAAAGGGGCTCACAGCCTCACCTGCAGAACCTGAAGGCCTGAGGCCACAGGGTATACTCTGGCTGTTATAACAGTATCAGCAGTGCTGATGAAGACGAAAAGCTTCCTTCTTCACAGTGAGATTCAGCAGTTGTTTTCTTGCCCTTTCACCCCCTTCACTCTACCCTTTCACTGCAGTAATGGGAGGCTGTTCTCTTTTTCTGCTTCAGCGATTAGTAGTAGGCACATTTTCCTTTTCAAGCTTGCCACCCTCCAAGAGGCAGACGAAGGCTCCATTAAAGCCACGTTTTCCCTGCCCTAGAGAGCAGGTAGCCTGTTTGAGGAGCAAAAGCTTAGTACACTTTGAAAAGGTAAAGAATGATTGAAGGTGACATAGTAAGTACACAGTGGTGCATGCGAGGTCCAAATCAGGCAACAGGAGAAATGATGAAGAGCTAGGGCTTTTGTCTTCAGCAGCCAAATGCAATCACCCTCTTTAGCTGAAGCCTTTTTCATTTCTAAAACACGGTGAATTGGGTTCCTGCATAGCTGCTTCACCACCATTAAAGCTTCCATTCTCCCAAAGACATCTAAGGACATTTTTGAAGAGTGCTGGGGCCCCTGGCCCTGTACTATGGTCAGTCTTGGAAAGCTAAAGCTTTCCTTGAAAGACCTTACTGAACAATCGAGTTCACCATTATTTAATGCTCTCCAGGGAGAGGAGCCAAATCTGCCCTCTTTTCTCCAGTATGAGATTGGAATACAGCCTAATTAAATAGCAAGAAGGGGCTGGTCCCTGGAGATTGGGGGGTGGCATTACCTGCATGTAAATCTATAGCCTGATAGATCAATTCCTGAATTTAGAATTCAAGGGGAAAAAGCTGCATTTATTTCTACTTTAACTCTTCCATGTGCTTTCTGTTTTGTTTTGTTCTTGCCCCTCTCTGCCTCACTGTATTACTGTCATTTGTATTACCGTGATAGCTCCTTTACAAAAATAAATTGAACCTAGTGATTCCTAAACCCACTGATATACCAAGGTCACTTGAAGGCTTAAAAAAAAAAATTCTCAAGCCACTCCTGATGATATGGATTCAGTAGTTTGAGTAGGTGTGGCCCAAGGATAACTGTTTTCAATAAAAACTCTGGATCTCATTGTTCCTCAGATTGATTTTGATGTGCAGGGACCTAAACCACGTGTCCTAGTGTAAACCAGCTCCTATAATGCAAGATTTTGAAGTCTGGTAGGGACAACAAAAAACCCCACAAATGTGGGGATAAAACAAAAACAGGAGGGAGAATAAGGCATATGGGTGGGTCACATATAAAATTCCTCTCTCCTGCCCTGGCCTGTGTTGCCCAGTGGTTAGAGCATCAGGCTGTGCACCAAAGGGTCGAGGGTTCCATTCCCTGTCAAGGGCACTACCTGGGTTGCAGGTTTGATCCCTGCCCTACTTGGGGCCCCTGAGGGAGGCAACCAATGAATGTCTGTCTGTCTGTCTGTCTCTCTCTCTCTCCCGCCTTTTCACTCTATCTAAAAAAAATCAATGGAAAAAATATCCTCGAGTGAGGATTAACAAAAAACAAACAAAAAAACCCTCTCTCCCCACCTAAGTTTATTGTGCAGAGTAGTAATTCCAGATGGCTGCACTCACTACCGTTGCCCGGCTGAGGGCCCCCAAAGTGATGAAATCTACAGCACTGTCTGTCGTTCCTCTTCACTGCGGATGCTAGGGTAGCCAGTTCTTCCTCTCACTCCCAGCCCACACCCTCCCAGCCCTGTTTTGTCGCCTCCAGGGGAGACCCCGGCTGGAGCTGGGCGTGCTGCTCTTGCGTTCCCCGTTCCCGCAGGCTAGGCCGGC